AGGTGCTTGAAATAGATTATATGAGTTTCCAGTGTGCACAGCATTCGGTAGTAACGTCTTCAAACTTCAAACTTAAGCTTTATAAGGTTGATACTTTCAAACACAGTCGTTTTTTACAAACATGTACCACCATATAGTCAGATCGAGTATTTCTGGGACGACCCTCGTATGTGTAAGCTTATTCAGAGTACAAGTTATACAAGTTAATAATCACATATAATCTTTAATGAAGTATTATTACATAGAATTGATCAGAAAAAATATATTAACTATGTTATATTTTGTATTTTTATCTTGACAAAATTTATAAATAAAAGACAAAATATATATAAAAAGTATTACTTTTGAATCAAAAACATACTGATTTTAAAGTGTTAACGTCTATAATCATTTTTATTACTGTAATGAAGTTATAGTAGACATTTAACATTTTTGATATTTTTATTATATTTTAGCAAACAAAACCATGAGAGATGAATTCTCAGATTTTTCTAAAAAATATTGTTATTAGTGTAAATCCAGGAACTTTTCATTACCTCATCTTTTTAAGGACTGTGCTACATTAGAATAATATTGTAAAAAATATCAAATTATTGTAATAATTAATACAAACCAAGACCTAAATTACAGAGCTAGGCTAGGTAACCTAGCAATAAACAATATGTATAAAATAAATAACTTTTATTGAAAATTACTGCTAATTAAACATTTTATTAATTAATCTTACTATGTAAGCGTAATATGTATATAAAAATTTATTTATATGTTTATATAATTATATTGTCAGAAAGTTGTATAATTTTACTGTTGTGATTATAGAATTGTTTAGTTGAAGCAAACCAGTGAGTAAATGTACTGACTTCCTCACAACAGGCTCCAAGCTTATTACAGACTTTAGTTTACAATTGGATAAATACCTACAAGATACTGTTGGACAGAATTAAAACAACAATGGAAATTTAATTCAACAAAACATTCAGGATTTTTCAGGTGAGCCAACTATATTTGATACTTCACTACATAACCTGGATAACCTACTAAACACTTCTTCTACAGTCTTATGGAATAAAATATTCAATCTTATAAAAACATCAAATGACAAACTTTTTAGTCAAATTACTTGTATTGAGGATGAATTGGATTTAATTCGTGAAAATTTATGGGAAAGTAAAGAGCAACAAACAAAAATGGAAGAGCAAATGACTAATTTACGCCATCAGATTGACACCTTGCAGATTGAGAAAGATCTTACGCAATTTAAAATAGACTCTATTTAATGATCATAATCGTAATAGCATTATATTATATAATTATCCTAATTCGAGAGTTATCTCAAAGGCAGAAATCTATAATTTTATTAGTGCTTTGTTAAATATTAAANTAAACAATCGAAGGTCTGTAGATTTACTTTTACAATTTGGTGACATACAATACCCATTGTTTAAAGTTTTCAATACTTATAGACCTAATAATAGTCGACTCATGCAGGAACTACGTCTGGAGTGTAGTATATCGATGAACCCCAAAATGGCCGCTGCCTGCAGTGTGTCCTGACCTTCTTATATAGACCTTGGTTTTCGGCCGCGGGTCTAGGGTCCATTCGTATTCGTTTGTTCGATAAGCCAGTAAAAAGCGTAGACTTCTCTATGTGTACTTTTAATATCAAAATTACATTCTGAATCGCTAGCCACGATATAAGAGCTACGATTAAAAATAAAATTATAAAAACTTATTTGATAAAATAAAATGTGTGGTGGATATACTGGATATACATACCTGGTACAAAACATTCTTCAATTGTATAAATATACTTTTAAAAAAATTATAATTAAATATAGCATTGATAAAATATTCTTTAATCTTTAAATCTTAAAACAATTCAAATAATTCCCCACGAGTGGCTAATGGATGGAATAAGAGATTGTCTTCGTAAGTGTGCGTGCATGCACGAGGATTGCCAAATTTCGAGGGTGCCGATACCGGTCACTGTCAAATGCCTCTTTTGTCGCATCACTTAAATTCCCTTTAATATCGGACATACGAAATCGTAATATCACTAGTTTAACATTGAAATTCGTAAGTAATATAAGATGGGAAAGCAAACTAAAAACATCAAATATTTTAATGGATTTTTTTAAATTCCTGTGAACTATACAGAAATATCATTAAAACGAACCAGTAAATTCCAATCTGTTGGGTTAAGTTATATATCTACTCGCTTTTCACATAATGAGGCGAGGGGAACCAAATATCTGGCGGGCGGGCGGCTAACAGCCGAGAACCTGTCCCGGATAGAATCATTAAAAGCATTAGATGTGTGTAGCTTCCACCAGCTATACCGGGTGAGGTTGGTGCTCTGTAAAACGCATGCGCGAATGCGTATAATCTGGCTGTTTGCAAGCTGACCCGGTTTTTCGACAATACAGCGCTTCCATTCCGCCACTGATATTCGAATATACAATAGCGATCTTATCGTTTTTCTCACGCGTAGTATAGAAATTTGTAATAAGATACATAATGCGGTTATAATAAAATATTCATTTTAATTAATTCAAAATACGTTAAGATATGAAAATAATCGCGCAATATATATTTATTTCTTGGGAAATACAAGAGAAGCGATGCTGTCACCGCTTCCAAGAACGGCACACTACTGAACGATAGACTAAATATGAGAGAGAGAAAGAAATCTTTGACCTAAGAAACGCGGCACAAAACGTAAGCAATGAGTTTCGGTTAAACGGTGAAACACGTGTTAAACGATCTGACAATGTCAAACCGAAAGGTAAAACTCTGACACAAGTGCTCATAAACACGTAGAACTCTGACTCGAGCGCTTATAAATAGTCAATCTAGTAAAATAATTTCGGAAAAGGAAAAAGTTTTGAAGGAAATAAAAACAATCGTGTATAAACTATGTTAAATTTTGTATTTTTATCCTGACAAAATTTATAAATAATAGCGAAAACATAAATAAAAAGTATTACTTCTGAATCCAAAACATACTGATTTTGAAGTTATAACACCATAATTTTAAAGTGAGATATTCAACATATTTTATATTTTTATTACATTTTAGCAAACAAAATATGAAAGATGAACTCTCAGATTTTTCTAAAGAATATCGTTATTGGTGTAAATCCAGGAACTGTTCATTACTTCTTCTTTTTAAGGACTGTACTGCATTAGGAAAATATCGTAAAAATATCAAATCATTGAAATAATTCATACGAACCAAGACCAAAATGACCGAACTAGACTAGGTAACCTAGCAATAAACAATATGTATAAAATAAATAACTTTTATTGAAAATTACTGCTAATTAAACATTTTATTAATTAATCTTACTATGTAAGCATAATATGTATATAAAAATTTATTTATTTGTTTATATATATTGTCACAAAGTTACATAATTTTACTATTGTGATTATAGAATTGCTGAGCAGAATAATATATATTATTGTTATAACTTTTCTATATAGAGCCATAATTTAAAAATGTAATGTTTTTCTTTTTTCTAATTATAGAAAAATGACACTCAAATGTAAATTTTTTGATTGTATATATTGTTTGAAACATTTTTCTAGTTAGACACAATGAGCGAAGAATAGGTTGATGTGTATATAAAGTTTCCTTTATATACACATCAACCATTAGAAGAAGAAATTTATAGACTATTGAAACTTTTAAATTCAGGTAAAATTTTAAAGGAAAACAACTTCTTTTGACGTTCTGGAATATCCACGAATTACATACAAATACATCACAGAATTAAACTCAAACTATTTTCATCTATCACCTTACCAGAAGAAGATATGCTTTTTTTTTGTTCCCATGGTTTTAGTTGATATCTAGAAAACAGATGGATATAGTGAATTCACATCAATTTTGTAAAATTGATGTAAATTTGCTATATCCATCTATTCCACATTTATTCAGTGATGAGCTTAGCCAAAAAATGTCATTCTACCTTCAGAAGAGTCAGTCTGATTCATGGTGAAAAGGAGATGTATTTAAAAGAGATCGATTTAGGCATTAAATTGTGCTAATGGAAACTTAATAGAAATTGCAGCTGGATATGCTTGATGAGTCACTTCATCTTTGACTTTAAAAGTGAGAATAATTATGCAGTTTTTGTAGTAAATAAAAATATGCTTTTTAACAACACCAAACTTAGATTAAGAATAAATCAAATGGCGCATTTGGAATCTGTTAATATACTTTTTTAAAAGTTGCAATTTGAATGGTATATGCTCAACCTGAGGACATTTTGAAATATCAAATTGTAATTTAAAAATCTTTGCAAGTAAACAACTTTAACATTGAAATACAGTTTGGTTTATTCTTAATCTAAGCTTAGCATTGTCAAAGAGCATATTTTAGTTAGTTCAAATGATAAGCGAATAGAAAGTAGAGTAAAATAAAGTTGTAGTCATTGATAGAGAGATTTCCAATGTAGAGATCATATTCATTAAATTGCATAACTATTTAAAAATGAATGACATACCCTAATAAACAAATACACAGTGTGAATAAAACAAACAAAATAGAAAGAAAAAACAAATAAAAAGAAAAAAATTTATTAAACCATTTTCAAACTTTTATTTAATTTTAAATCTTTTATCCAATCAGTTTATAAATTAATGAACAAATAATACAATTAAATGTAAACATTAAAATCTTTTGTAAAATATTTTATATAAATTGCCTGTGAATTATCGTAGTTAAAATGTGAATTTTATACTAAATTAATAATTTGTGTAGATCCAAAATTTTTTCTTCGAATATATATTTAGATGTTAGATGCATCATCTCGTAATCCTTCCCCTCCAGTCATTTTACATATGCACCCTCAAGGTCCAGGACTAGGAATTAGACAAACGCTACCCACATTCCTATTCACAGAGGTTATCTACTAGAGAACCACTCTAATCCCATAATTCACCCGGTGTAACAGAAAAAGAAATTGCAAGATTAGAAAAGTTTTCTACTCTTTAAAAGGGTCCTAATACAGATCTTGGTAAATTATAAACTTTATTTTGAAAATTAGTTTCTTTTGAATGTTTGGTTACAATTGATTATCTGTTACCAATACAAACATTAACATGTTACTCTCTATTATACCTAAATTTAGATTTTATATTAATTTATTTCTTGTTTGTATTACATAATTCAATAAAAAATATTTAAATAAGTATTTCAATAATAATTCAATTAGTATATAAAAAGTTTATAATTTGGTTTGACCTTTAAAAAATTCTTGAATTATTTGCAACAATAAATAGAAATTTATTCTTATATAAGAAGAATGTTTTCAAAATTTTTAAATTCAACAGTATAAGTTGGATGAACTTCACCTGAACATTTCATTAGAGCATAATGTAAATTGTAATGATAAACATTTAGAATATTTGCTTTTAAGTTAATGAATATGTTAATTCACTAAAATTCAGATAAATTTTTTCATTAAATAAATAAAAATGATGTTACATATTTATTCTTTCTGTAAAAACTTATTATTATAGCAAATATTTAGATAAAACAAATAGTTTATACTTTGCACTAATTGCCAACAGACACTTTCATAAGAGATATATACAAAAGTGCTATAAATTTATCATTATTGTAATTTTATTAAATCATTTATTATCAGGTAAGTATGAAAATATTAAAGCAAATTTATTTCACTTTAAAAATTAATATGCTGAAAGTTCTATATTTTTTTAAACATTAAATTTTAAGACCATATGACCATGATAAATAAATACATTTGAAATATTTTAGTTTTTAAAAATGTATAACTACGAATATTATTAATGTATTAGAAACGTATAGGAGGCAATACTTCAATTTTGTTTTACATATTTGATCACTCTACATGTATTTATAAATTTCAGAATAATAATGTGACATTTGTCAATTATTTTGTAAAATTTTAGTATAAATATTTTATTTTAAGTTTTAAAATGCAACTGATTTAAAAAAT